TCCTCAGAACAGAGCAGGGGATCACTGTGTACTTCAAAATCAAGAAAGGAGTACATCAGGGATGCATCCTGTCCCCATACCTTTTAAATCTGTATGCAGAACAGATCACTTGAGAAGCAGGGCTTTATGAAGATGAGTGTGGCATCAAATTTGGAGGGAGACTCATTAACAACATACGATCTGTATATGACACAACCTTGCTTGCTAAAACTGAAGAAGAACTGAAGCACTTGCTGCAAAAGGTCAAGGACTGTAATCTTCAGTATGGATTGAAGCTCAACATCAAGAAGACAAAGATTCTCACCACTGGGCTAATTAGCAACACCATACTAGATGGAGAATAGATTGAGTTTGTTAGCAATTACAGCTTGCTTTGATCCACAATCAACACTCTTAGAAAATCAAAAGATTAATTACATTGGGAAAATCTTCTGTCAGGAACCTCTCCAGAATGCAGATGTCACTCCAGATACAAAGGTGCACCTAATCCAGGCCATGGTTTTCTCAGTTAATTGTTATGTTTCAGAAAGTTGGACAATGACTAAGGATGACAGAAGAAGAATAGATGCCTTCGAGTTGTGGTGCTGAAGAGTCTTGAACATACCATGGATTTCCAAGAAAACAAATAGGTCTGTCTTGTAGAGGGTGAAACCAAGTTTCTCCTTGGAGGCTAGGATTTTGAATCTCTGCTTCACTTACTTTGGGCACATGGCCAGGAGAGATCAGTCCTTGGAGAAGGACATCATGCTCAGAAGGGTGGATGGATAGCACAGGAGAGGAAGACCCCAGATAAGATAGATTGATACAGTAACTGGAGCAATAGGAGTTGGTGTGTTAGAATTAGTGAGACTGGTTCAGGATAGGAAACAGTTCAGAGCTGCTGTACATAGGATCACTATGCATTGCAAGCAATTCAACCAATAACAATTCTGTGACAGGTTTGGAAACCGGAGTGGCATCCATTTCCTAAACAACCTACCTCCGGAACTCTATGAATTTTGATAAATGTCAGTAGTTGTAGAAGGGCTTCATACCTTTTGTTCATAGGGTCGCTATGAGTCATGCTTAACTCCAGGGCAATCAACAATAATAAAAACATTAAGATTTGCTTTTTGTTGTCATATCTTCATGCCTTTAGTTTACTACTTTAATCACTCACTCACTGCTGTCCAGTTAATTCCACCTCATAGTGACCCTCCAGAAACTACCCATAGCTCTCCTGAGGAACAACTAGTGTGTTCAAACCACCAAAGGTTCAAG